AATGAACAATTAATCACCGATTCATAACTATTTGCCCAAATTGGCTTAATTCTCCCATACAGTCAACGCCGTTATCTAACAAATATATTCCAATTTCTAAAACCTGAATTTGACATTCCTTCTATATTTATAGACTTATAGTATTATTATTATTGTGGCCCGTTTTAAATTAATCACCGTTTTATATTTGTATAAAAAAAATTGTATCTTTTAATTTACAATCAAAACATTTGGTGGCGTAATTCATCCTAAAATTGTTGATAGGGGTGCCGTAGCTAMTCTATAATTTTTATAATGCGATACAATATTATGCTCGTTGAAGTGTATAATTATAATAAATCATAATCACATCGTGATTCGTGACTCATGAGTATAATATAATACATTATAATATACTGATCAAATTCTGTAACAATATAATATTGTAACTATTTCAAGTAAATTCAAATTTTTATCGGTGTTGTAGGTACGATAGAGAACGATTCACCTTTTTTGGTAACACGATTGAAAATGATTGTCGGTAGATCAAAGAAACAATATTTTGTATCTTATAAYCAAACAATTAAGAACGATTTTTCGAGTGACATTGCCATTTAGCTTGATGTTTAATAATAAAGATAATAAATACGAAAATAAATAAATTTCTCAATTGAGTTATTAAAAAAGGTACGGCCGATAAGGACCGTTCTCAATCGTGTTCTATTCCAATTTGTAAGGGCACAGAGTACAGTAATTAAAAATAAAACAAATAACATTTTACTATTAAGAAAAAAGGTTGGCAAAAATAGGTCTAAACAAATGAAGATACTTTTATCTTCATTTAATTACTTAAAAAAATATAATAGGTACGAGTAGAACATGAGTTGAGCCAAGTTAAGCCAATTATGAAGTATTAGGTATCACATAAAGAAAACATTTTTTTAATTTATTGTACATCATTTCATATAATAAAGATGTTTTTAACGTAAGCGAAACTAGAAAATTTCATTAAGACAAGAGACAAGTCAAAAGATAAATATTTAATGATAAATTTTATTTAGAAAAAACGTTTTTAATTTACATTTAAAATTGTAAAAATTGTATAATATCTAGTCAGTATTAGGTCAGGGTCATGGCCTAATGCTGATGTGGTTAGTTGTTTCACCAGTAATTATATTTTTTAGATTCTAAAATTTATAAGGTGCTACTACTGCTACTAAGTGATTTTACAATGATGTATATCATTTGATAAATAAGTACTAGGTATGTAAACCCATTTCCATTATCAAATTTTAGTAGTACCCATGATTTATTATTAAGATGTATCTTAAATTATGGTAGTACTTAATCTAATATTAATCTTACTGTATTAAAAAGATATTGTAAACACAATACAAATCAAAATATTATGTAGGTATAACAAATGTATTATTGCAGAAAGTTGTTTGCATTTAATTTAAAAAAAATTAGTTTAGGTTTATAAAGTTTTTACTTTTTAATGTAATCATTAATCAAGGGATGTAGATAATAAAATGTTTTGCATAAAATAAATCTTAGTATTAAAATGTTTATTTAGATAGCAATAAAAAAATTAATAGATATAGCCAACATTTTCATGTTAACATTCACATTCACATTGCAATTCAAGCTCACAGTCTTCATCATCATCACCGCATTCAAATATATCTTCTTTATCAAAGGGATAAGGAGGTGGAAATGCATTAAAAAACGTAGATTTAGTTAGCTGAAAAAAAAAATATTATATGATCAAAAGTGAAATTTGATATATATTTTTATCAAAACACCAAGTTTTTAATAATATGTGTATGTTGATGATCCAAAATTAAAACATAAGTGTAAATGGCAAATGTTAATAGCTACCTAMATATTATTAATATTATTTGTATTCGATACTTTCTTAATATTTTAAAATGTGAATACATTTTATAGTATTTGTAAAAAATAAATTAAATTTGAT